TTATTCCTCCTTGGGTGCAGGACCCTACCCTCGCCCTTGTTGAATTTAATTTGGTTCCTCAAAGGGCACTCGTGAGCATCCACCACTCTCGGCCATCACTCACGGTGTGCTCCTGACAGCCAGGGCACCCGTTCATTTGGGCAGTGTTGCGGGGGTCTTCTGCAGCCCAACAGCCAGTGTTTTTACACACCAGAGGTGAACCCCCCAGAAAAGCTGGGACGCCAAGGAAACCCAGGTCACAGATCCTTTGCCACCCCACACGTCTTGCACCCAACACAGCAAACTGGTTTACCAAGCCCAGCTGAAATCGGAGCTCTGCGAGCTCATTGCTGTTCTTTCCTAACGAGTTTCCCTGTTACAGCCCTGACAGACACCTGGGGCGTTTTCGCACCCACCAATCTCGCCCTCGTCGGCCTCCCACGTCATGAAGCAGCAATTAGTCTCGGTGTCCCACACGCAGATCTGGCCTGAGTTGGTCCCACTATAAAGAAGCGCGTCAGCACCGTAACAGATAGAGGTCAGCTCCACCGGCCCTAACACGTCCGGGGCAGGGGCCTGATGAACCTGCTGGAACACATAAAACAATAAGGTCAAAGAGAATATGGTGCTTACCTACATTGGGGAAAAATAAACACCCTCCTCCTACCCTGAATTCATGCAGTTAATGCCTCAAATACAACTGAAAGCCACTCACAGCCAACCAACATCATCTCACTAAGAGAAATTATCAGCTCTCACGGACTTGTGGGGACAGAGCCTCCAGCGCACTCACCAGGGGCTTGGAAAAGAAGTCAGAGATGCTGAACATAAATTTTAAAAGTTGTTAAAACAGGTTTACCTTGAGGTTGACATCCGCTCCCTGCTGCTCCAACAGCCAAAACGTCACGCCTCCTTTCCCCACACAGGCCAGTTCTCTGTGAGAACGAGGACTAAAAGCCACGTCATGGACTGGCTCCAAGATACAAGTCGATGACATGAGTTCGTACGTGTAGGTATTCCACAGAGCAATGGTTTGATCACTGTAGTCCCCTAGGTAGAACACGAAAGACAGGAGGAGGAAAGTCTGTAGCCCCAGGACGCTCGCAAGCACACACACTGCACACACGCATCAACTCTGTCGCTCCTTTGTCTAGTTGTTCAGAGACAACTGCTGTGAAAACCGTCCCGGGCATGGACACGACTTCTCGCGTGCTCAGCAAAAGCTGCGCGACACGATGGGTCCTCAGCCGAGTTGAGGACAGATAGAACTGGCCCAACGCTTCGTGCTGGGGGCTGTAGCATGTCTGGCCCTGCAGCAGGGTCTGCAACCAGCGTTTGAACCGGCCGGTGGCTGGCGTCGTAGGGATTTCAGCAGACAGAGCACGTTTTCTGCTGTTTCTACGTCCTTAGGAGCTACTGCACACCTCGACATACGCCCCACACAAGCCCTCCAGCGATACTGCGCACTCGGGGCTAACAACAGTCTTGAAATAAGAAAGGGATGTCACCATTGCTGAGGTCAAAGCTGAGATGGGAGCTGATCTTAATGGAAGCAGAAGGCGCTGGCCTCGGTGACGGCAAAAACATCCCCAGCTCCCAGACAGCTCTGCAGGACAGTGCTCTCCTGCTGCCTTTCCATAATCCCAGTGGAGACTTTCAGGTCTTCTCCTCTCTGCAGCCCAGACCAGAGCTGGAACAAGAGGAGGAGGACGCTCCTCTCCCACGCTGCTCCATGGAGAGCACAAAACTCTCTTCCTCTCCAGCAAAGCTCGCTTTTTTTCCAAGGGCAGACTCATCAGCCCAGAGAGAGCCTATCGCCTGGCTCCACAGGTCCTCTCTCATGCAAAACAGGAACTTACTAATTGCATATTTGTCCTTTAAATGTCCCCTGCCTAAAGAAAACAGACAGTTTGAGCGTCCATCGTGCGCTGGCATTGCTGCCTGGCAGGAGGCACACAGTTTGAAGCCTGGCTACTTCTATGCAATTCCACCTAAGGAGCAATGAGAAGTCCAAAAGAAGGCTTTTCCCTTTGGATACTATATATAGTAACTGCAAACTACTTACACAGCCTTAACAAGCAGTAGGGAGCCAGCAGAACAATGCTGTAACGTCGAGAAAAACAAACTAGCTGGGGTGATGAGAAAGAACTGCAGGGGAGCTGGGGGGAGCCCAGCATTCGTGCCCACGGCTGAGACGCGCAGCGCGCGTGCTTCCCCTCGAAACGTTGCGACAGCACCCTGGAAGCACGCTCGGCTGCAAAGATTACCTCTGCAGGCAGGAGGACCCCAGATCACTTGCCGTTTTACGTGCTGCGTTATTCGTTGTCCCGAGGCTACCAAGAAACAGCTTCGTACCCGTGAGCAGGTATTGTGCGCTTACAGCATCTTCCTCCCGTGAGCTGTCTACTCTAGGGTGTACTCCTGCACCCACGCCTGGTGTTACAGGTATACTCACCTAGAGTAACAAGGAATCTATCATCCCGAGAGAATGCCATGGCTTGTACTTGGGTCTCGTGATGGAAGAGATTTGCCGTGCAAACCCCATCCTGGATGTTCCAGATGCAGATCTGACAATGGGAGTCTCCGTTCCTCTTTCCTGAGGCAGAGGCAAGAACCTAACAGAATGATATGCTGTCACTGAGACCTTGGTAAATAATTAGAGAACACTTCATTAGTTAGTCTTAGCAACTCGTAGCCTCAAATTAAAGCAATGCGGTTGGCAAATGAAAAATTCTGCGAGAACCATCACGAGCTGATGGCAGGAGGGAATGGTAGCATCACCAAGAGGAAGGGAGCAGCCTTTACTGTCACACTGAGCCAGCACAACGATAGCTAGGCTCAAAAAACATTTGTTTTATTTCCATAACCTCAGGTCTCCATGCAGCAGGCAGGAGAATGAACAAGGTTTTAGTCTGTGACATTCCTTCAGCCTGAAGTGACACAGACAAAACCCAGCCCGGTGCAGCAGAAGCTTCTCCTACCTGGGCATCGTGGCTGAGGGCAAGCGTAGAGATCTCCTCTGCGTGGCCAAGCCAGTGATTCTGCAATCCCGAGTGCAGGTCTTCAACCACGATGACGCAGCCACAGGTGTAGGCGAAGAAGCCTAGCAGAGGAGGAGGAGAGGGGATGTTTTCATTTAAAGGCTTCACATACAGCACCCACTACAAACGACACTGCAATTCAGGAAAATTCTTTTTCTCAGTAAGACGTAAAAGCTGACTCTTTGACATAGCATCTTTCCCATCAGGTCGATTGGAGCAGAATCTCCCATCCCCTAACCTGAGCAAAGCAGAGTTGTCGGGCATCACTCCAGCCTGGAGAAAGGAGGCACGATGGCCTCTGCGAGAGCCTTCCCTCCTGCTCTATCCATGCGGCAACCGAAGCCTGACTCTGCCCGTATCAACTAACGCTTGCCAACAGCAAAGAAGGGTTACTGGGTTTTACCAACGTAAAGAATCCCTGTGTTAAAGCAAAGATCCCAACCCAACAGCTACAAGATCGTAAACATGGCTCAGTACGCACACCTCCCGCCCCCCCAGAGCCTTCCCGGTGTACCTGTGTCCGGGTTCCACACCATATTCCCTCTGCCGTTTCCATTGTAGCCGATCACTGCTTTCAGCTTCAAGACCTCGCTGCCAGCCGGAGGAGATGAGAAACTCTGCAAGAAAAGTAGACGTTGGCTTAAAATAACCCCTAGAAGAACGGCCCAGCCAGGTACATTCAACACCCACGTAAGAAAAAGCGTGCGTGCAAGCACACACACGTCCTCACACACACAACACGCAAATTCATGCCAATACTCACACAACTCCAGTTCAACACATCAATGGCTAAATACCAAAGTGCACACTTACACATACAAAAGAGAAACTGCACCAGCAAAACCAGGCACAGATGCTTTCAGATGGGGCACAAAACAGGCTGGCAGCAACTGCCCATCCCGTGAGCAGCTGCTATTTCAACGGGGTTTGCTGACTTGGGGATGTAGACGTTTCTGTAGGAAGACACTGTGTGCAGGAAAACACTACCAGGTGGAAGGATGGAGGAGAGAATTGAGGGTGCAAGCTGAACGTAGCTTTTCTCCCAGCACCGTGAACAGCGGAGCTTAGGAAAAGGTTGAGTTAAGTTTCTGTTTTATTATTGCTCTGTTTGTTAACAGAGCGAGAGCTGCGCCTTGACTATCTTCCCTACGCTCGATGGATTGCCTTCCCCAGCCTGCTCTGCCAACGCATCTGCTCGCAAATATGGGTGCTTGATGAATCACTCCATTGCTCACTCGTCTTTCACTTTCAATAGCACATGCCATTTCCATTTCTTTTGAATAAAAAATGTATGCAGATTTGCTGAACAGAAAGAGTTGATCACAACTCACTTTTTACTAGTCTGGAAAGAGCTGCATGTAGAGGAGAAAGGGGAACTAATGTTAGGAGTTTCTAATTGAACATCAGGCCCAGGGGTATATTTCACAAATTGCTTTCAAGCAGAGAAGAAAATGGAAACAAATTTGGAAAATCCACCTATCCCAGCCCCCAAAAATGCCCGTTCGCCACCTGCCCAGGGAACAATTCTCACCTGGGGGAGCACCGATGCCTTAAAACGAGGAGTGAAATGCCGGTAGGAATCCGGGCGGACGGAGCATTGGGACTTGGGACTTCTGGTCTCCTTCCTGGGTTCTGCCACACAAAAAAGACGACAGCACCTATGGGATGCTGCTCCTGGGAACGGTTCGGGAGCAGCAGCCAGGCTGCGGCTTGCTGTCCATTCAGACGCTGTGTATGTGTGTGCATACACACACACAAGGCAAAAAAATCAGACTGCAGCATCGCGTGCGCTCCTACATGACTGCCCAGAGGAAAAGCACCAGCTTCCCAGGAGCAAAGGAGGAATATCCATCTCCCCCCCTCATCCCGCTCAGCCGCACCACGCTGCTAACAGCCTCAGGGCATCCACGCTGCGTGCCCCGGGCATCGCTGCGAAATCATAAGCCACACACAGCTAGGAAAGGGTCTTTAACGAGAGCGGCGGAGGCGCAGTTTTAGGTTGAAGCTTTCCAACAAGTCCTGCCTGGGGCTGAGTGCTGGCAGCTGCCTGCTTCTGGCAGCTCGCCACAAACTGCTGCAGCTTTGAGGCTGCACATCTATTAATAGAGACATCGGGAGCTTTAATTTCAGATGGGTTTAATAGAACGTGCCACTTAGAGATGATATCGGCTCCAAGCTGAAGTAGGGGCTTCTGGTGTGCCGAGAAGCAGCAGCAGGGGAAGAGCCAGAAAAACAAGCAGTCTTGGGGACCAACGTGTTTCCCTCAACGCTGACGTCCCTTGGTAAATCTCACCCCAGGGAAGAAACCTGAGGAACATGTTGCTGCTCTTCATCTTGGAACTCCGAGCACGTGTCTGGGTCTATCTTAATTAATATTAATATTGATCTGTCTTTATTTTTCAGGGCTAGACCAAGCTGCCGTGTAGGGGCACGACGTGCACAGGCCTAAGGAGCCAAGCTCTGTACCAGATGGGAACACCCCT